CCTTGTCACCCACACCCTTTTTGTCCATGGTGTCTGTTAATGTAATTGCCAGCATCTATTTTTTCTTCATTTCCTCTAAACTCTATTTTTATTTCCTTCCTCAAACAATTTACATATCATTGAGACTCCGGATGCATCTGAAACATTGTTTGATTTAAAATCTACCTGTATTTGTGGAACTCAAACAATATACATAATACTCTCTCTCCTATTTTTCCTACAACAACAAACCTGTAAGGTGAGTTGGGCAGAAAGTGTGATGAGCCCTAAGTTACTGTGCTGGTTTTTGTACCAAAGGAAGGGCTAAAATTCACAGTCTTCTGGTTTTTTGTCCAATGCCTTAATTCTACACAAACTAGAACACAAGGTTTATATACAGTAATAAGTTTTATATTAAAATACATTATAATAATGTATTTTACTAATACATCCAAAGTCTTAGGATGCTGTTCTTGGTTTTTCTACACCAGACTAACATAAAACCATTAGTATTACTAGATCTGGCTGGCAAGAATCCAGCTCCTTACCAGACAGCAGCAATGATTTAAAGCAGTGGTATATACCTGTGATCCACAAATGCTTGGGGTCTGCGAAGGCTTCAAGAAATGTTATGATTTAAATCTTGAGTAAAATCTTGGTGGTTTGTGGCCATGGTCCGTGGCCACAAAAGGCATTTAAAGGGGGTCTGTGGTGACGAAAAGGTTGAGAACTACTGATTTAAAGTATTTGAGAAAGCTTTGCTGTCTTCTAGTGATTATCTGGATTTTTGCGGCCAAAGTCTCCTAGCCCACAAATACATATTGTCATGTGAAGTACTTCTGGTGGGTGTAAAAGATCAATTGATTTTTTTTAACCAAAAGGGGATTATTTTCTGCTTTTATTACATCAAAAGTCAGTTTTATATCATACTACATATGATATTACCATCCCACGTGTTTTATACTGTTCAGTTTTCATTGTGCAAATTGTAATCTGTCTGATTGATAGAATCATATGGATAATCCAAACAATGTTGCAAATAAATCTGTAATGAGCCCTCTATTTTTGCCTTCCTCTTTATTTTCCATTTCCAATTTCTTGGGGGTTTTATCCAACTATTTTTTCCCAGCTATTTTCTTTTCATATTCACCCACAAGTTAAGAGAAGTAAAAATAACAGAATAGTTTTGCTTGCTATTGCTCAGAGATTTTGATCTGGAAGCATACATGCAAGACTTCATTGTTTAATTGTAAACACTTTTTGGTTATGAGTTTCATTCACTTTTAGTATTGTGCTACCACGGCTGAGTTAGGAGAAATATAATTATTTTTTATTGCTGGTAGAGTACATCATATTTGCTACTTATTGTGGAAATAAATGACTATGTGCACATGGCTGGAAAACTTTTGGGGTGAAATTTCAAAATTTAATGGTTGGGAAGATGCTACTTCTTTTATAGATTTTTTATATTTGAAGGGTTATTTTATTCTAGGGCAATTATGGTGTTTTATTGTACAGATCATTTTTAATGTTTGTATATCCTGTAGAGCCTGGTGATAATGGGTGGCATGGAATATTAGGAAGGAGAAAGAGAAAGAACAGCTCTTTATAAAATATATGCTATCATTGCTAAAATCTGTAGTTCCTTAATGCTTAATTACTTTCTTGTAGTTTTTCAGTGACTTTGCTTTGTGACCCCAAGGATGATCACACAACCGGGGATATTGGATTATTACTTGTAGTCAGTTTTACTGAGAAATCCATTGTCCGGAATTCGCAAATTGCTGGGAAATGGGGCAAGGAGGAAAAGACAATTCCCTATTTTCCATTTACAGCAGAGGACTCATTTAAGGTAATAAATCTCTCTCTCTCTCCCACCCTCCCTTCCTCCCTTCCTCCCTCCCTCCCTCCCTCCCTCTCTTACACACACACACACACAGTCTTAGGACTGTGCATAGCTTTAGTTTCAAAGATTCAAAAGCAAATAGGTGACTTAGCATCAAATTTCAACTCTTTAAAGCAGCTGTATCTTTTCCTATTATTGTGCCCCATGTATTCCGAAGACTCTTTGTATCTTCAGATTTGAAGTATTGCACATTCTAATCAGTTTATGCCTAGCAATCTGTTGTTCACTTCCTGAGCGGTGCGTGGCCTAGAGCTGAAGACGCTTGCCTCCCACTCAGAAGGTTGTGAGTTCAATACTAGGCAGTGGTAGATGTTTATGAGGCACAAAGAGAAAATATCTGCTGTGAACTCCACATAGGTGTCAGGAATTGCATCTGGCCAGAAGATGCTCAGCTCCATTCAGTCACCCTGACTCCATCCTGAATAATGGAATTAAAGGATTGTAAAAAGAAAAAAAAACTATGTTACCTAATTCCCATTGTTAACTGACAATTGTCCAAATCTTCAACAGCAACATTCTTCAGCTATTCAAATCCTTTGACATTTCACTCTATAAGAGTGAAACCAGGACAAAAATTTTGATGAAAAAAGTGTGGTTCCAAGCTGCAGGAAGTTATATTGTAAGTCGCTCAGAGTTATTGGATACGGGATGGGTGGCAAATAAATTTTAAAACAAACAAAACAGAAATTGCCCACCATGCTTTAACCTGGAGAGACTGAAATTGTGACCACATTCATACAAAACATTGCTTTCTACTTTCTACAGGAGCAAGAAGAAGAGAAACTAGACCAATAGTTCAAAACCTGTTGTTTGGGGTAACTGTTAGTCTTTAAGAGTACTTGGGGATGGGTGCATTTGTATATATGGCCCAAATCTTATATCTTAGGAGTTCATTGGATATTGAAATCTTAGTGTTGTTGCTTGAAGTATCATGACATTTTATCTGCGAGATGTTTGCATGCCAACTTTCCAACAATTTCTTTAGCCTGTTGTTCATTTTCAGATGGAACTTTTATGTGAACATCAGCAGATCCGAATCCTGCTTGACGGACGTCAGTTGTGTAGTTTCAGTCACCGTGTGCAGCCTTTGCAAAGGATGACTGTTTTGCAAATCTCAGGAGACCTCAAACTTACTAAGGTGGCTTGAAGAAAATAATAAATCCAAAATGCCCTTCCCAATGTTGAGCTACAACACTCAGCAGTCCTAGGCAAAATGACTAATTGCAAAAGATCTTAAGAGTTTTAACCCAAGGCCTGAAGGGTCATAAATTCTCCATCTTAATCATAAATAATCTCGTATCATTACAGCTTTATGGCAAAAGTGCTTTTTTCATTTTTCTTTTCTTTTCTTTGCCTTTATGTGTGCCTCTTGAAATATTGGTCTGTTGTTTTCTTAGAATTCTACCCCCTCCTGCCAAAAGAATTTAAATATTGTTTTTTTACTTTAGTTCAGGATTCTTGCAGGTCTATTCTATTACAGCTAATTGCAAGCTTTGGGATGAGAGAGCTGCAGGTGCACAGAGATTTTATATTAATTTCTAAGAGAAAGACAACTAGTTATATGCAAAAGTTGTTTTCAGCACTTTTTTTAAAAATTGTGAAGTAAACTATACTATGTTCATTGGAGCTTGTTTCCCAGGTAAATTTGTATGCTATATTGAAAAAAGATGAAAATAAAATAATTGTGTGTAACTATCTCTATTTTATTTAACTCAAAACAATATGTTTCTCTTGCATTGAACTTCACCTCACTTTTCTCTCCAATTAAGATCAGGGCATTCTCTTAGCAAAAAACATTTGATTGGAAGAATAAATTCCAGTGCTGAATCAAGCTTGTGCTACAAGAATAAAACATTTTATCCTATTGATGGTTACTGTCAATCTGCCAAAATGATTTTATACACAATTGTCAAATGAGATCATCCTTTCCTAGAAGCCCAGGGTTCTATTATGTTAACTAGGATGTTTTCTTCCAACATTATCTACACATGGTTTTCTACACAATCACTCTTTCTCAGCCCTGCCTATTTTACAGGATTGTTACTAAGGGGGCGGGGAAACAGAGCATGGGTGTTGCCTCAAGCTCCTGCAGAAAAGGCAGAATATAAATCACATAAAAAATAAACAAGCATTTAGATGTTATAAAAATGCAACTTCCATCTTGTGAAGATAATTAGCCAAACAATAAGATAAAACTGGCACTCTTATAATTTTAACAAAATAAATAAAATAATGACTTTGTACAAATCTGTGGTCTGACTATAATACAAAAACAGTCAAACCAAGTCAAATAGTAATGCTATGGATAAGTTTAGGGATATGCTAGAATAGATTTACTACATAACTTCAAGGATCTGTACACCCAGAAAATATTTTGAAAATTTAGGGGTATGTGTTGACATCAGTATTTGAAAACACAGTCAGTCCTAAATGCTCAGTCAAAAGTAAATCCCTTTTTCTGTTAATATTCCTTTTAAAGTTGTTTCCAATGAAGCAAAACAGAGCCCTTTCTAGGGTGGTTAGCAAATCTGCAAGATTAACATTTAAACATTAATACAGATATTCATACAATTTTATATTGTGCAATGCTTCCTCCCCTCTGTGTATATGTGTATAGTATTACATAGAGCAATATGTGTAACAGACTTTTTAGAACCTATAACTACAGACTTAAAACCCAATAAAAAAGAAAGAAAAATGCAGGTGGAAACAAAAATCATGTTCATGCAGTACATTATGAGAGCATATGCACCAAGACAAATTCCTTGTGTGTCCAATCACACTTGGCCAATAAAAAATTCTATTCTATTCTATTAGAATATACTGAATAGTAGATCTAATAAGTAATAACTTGCTAACACTGTAGTTAATACTTTTTTATTAAATATCATTGCCAATGGGTATTCAGAGTTTATCTTGGAATTAAGAGAAAAGGAATTTTGTTTGAGATGTAGCACTTTCCCAGATAATTCTATATTCTGGAACATTAGACTCAGCTTTGAGGTAGACTTGTCCAACTTTTTAACCTAGCATTGCTCAAGATGCCTTCACTTAGAGCGAACTCAGAGTCCCCAAATGATTACTTTTTAAAAAGAAATTTTAGGAAGCTAAGGAATACGAGAGTAAAAAAATGGTTTATTTTTTAAATAAAAATATGAACATCTAAATCACTACTCAGTGTTTACACTCATGCAGGATCATATACAATGAATAGACTTGGAATGGGGGGGGGAAACATGGCAGCATCTGGAGTCATCACAGTGTTAATGGTAAAAATATAAGTGATCTTCCTGACACCAGTTCTAAGTAGTCTAAAACCAATTCTAAGTAAAATCTGAGTTTATGCTCAGATTATAAATATGAATGACATCTTAATACATTTTTCCTCTTCCATTCCCACCCTGAGAGCAGCAGCGAGTGGACCGCTCAACACATGAAACTTCTCATATTGCCATCCCAGTGTATTTCATAGAAATGTCCCTTTTCCGACTTCCAGTGGCTTCACGAAACGCCGACGGAGCTCCTTTTAGGAGCTCCAGCCCCGTGACTCCGTATAGCTGCTAGAACAGCAAAAATCAGCTGTCTAGCGGCTTAAAAACTCTCCCCCAAGGAAAAGGGGGAGAGAAGAGCAGAAGGGTCTGGTTAGAGCTCCCCTAGACCCCCAGGCTTTTTTTTTTTAAGCCTGGGGTTTGCAGGGTGAGAGCTCCCTGAAAGCCCTTTAAGAGCTCCGGAGCCGGGACGAGTCTGCTTAAAAATAAGCAGACCAAAGCGTCGCGACCACACCAGCAAAGCAACTAGAAAGATTATAAAGAATTTGGACTATGGATTTTGGATGCTGGCAGAGTTAATACAGGAGACTAAAAATGCAAGTATTGTATGTTAACTCCGTTTAAAAAGAGAAAGATGGCGCCTTAGGGCGTGAAAACGAAACTTATAAGTGAAGTGAAAGTCCTTGTTAACATCAGTAACATTGTTAAAGCTATCGGGTTATTCAAGAAAAAGATTTAAAGTGGAAGTGGAATGGAAAAGACTGTGGTATTGATTTTAACTAACTTACATCCTTAATTTGCGTGGAAAATAATTGGATTTAATGACCTGATAGCTGAATTAATACAAACATAAAGAGACAATTGAAAAATGGATGAAATTAAAGATGGATTATATGAGTCAGCAAATTTACAAGTGGTGACTGCGAAGGACTTAAAAGATTTTTTAAAATCTTTTACTGTTGAGATAATTAAAAGAACTATTCAAGATTTTAAATTGGGGAATAATAATGACTTGCTGGCTGGAAAAGAGGAAGAAATTAATCAGGATAATGTGCCTTTGGAGGATAAAAGAGACATTATTGGGGCTAAAATGGAGATTATTATACCAAAAACAGAGGTTCTGGAAGAGGCTTCCATTCAATTAATTGAGAAACAGCAAGAAGACTCTTTACTGCAGGTTGATAGATATTTTGACAAGTTTTGGCTCTATAGACAGAATCAATATATAAGGAACGAACTAATGGTCTACAAATGCAGGAAGAGTCGAAATGGGGTCTTCAAATTAAAGGAAACAACCCCAAGAAGAGAACGAATGCCAAAGACACACAAACTACAATTTCAAACCCAAAATTTTTTGAAAATAAAAGCAGGGGGAAGAGCAATGCTGAAGAAGAAAGTATTATTGAAGGACTGGAAAAAATATAGAAAGAAAGAAAGACTGGTTATATTTTGGAGATTGTCTCATGATGTTAAAAGATTTAATTAAAGTTGGATAACTTCTGAATTTTATGGTAGTATTAAAGTATTGAAGTTTAAAGGTGGATAACTTAAAATTTAATGGATAACTTTTTGAAAGTTTTGAAACTTATATTTTGGAGAATGTTCTGCTAATGTACTAAGCGATTTTAAAATGTTTAAAATAAGATTATGGTGGTTTTTTTTTTACAAATGTGAAATATGATAAGAGAATTTATGAAAGGAAGGCTGAAGTGTAATTTTTAAAAGGGGAGTTAACAAGTGTGAGAGAGTTGAATTCTGTAATAGTTAGCATATTTTAGCTTATGTTTGTTAAATGCTATATCCTGTTTTTGCTCTGGGAAGTTGGGGGGGAATTGGGGAGGGGGGGTTGGGTGGGGATAAAATGATGTATGATAATTGATTGTGTAGTGTTTGGTTGTTTGAATATAAAAAATAAAAATCTTTTGTCTTAAAAAAAAAAAAGAAATGTCCCTTTTCCGAGGAACTCAATATAGCACCTTAACAGCTGTTCAGTTCCATCTCTCTTTTTATCATTACAGGAATCTTGTAGGGCAGGTCAGACTGACAATATAATTGATTTAAAGTCATGCTGGGCCTGGATATGAACAGGAGGCAAGCAGCAAACTCTGTTCTCTCAGGAAATCTAGAGCACTATGAGTTAGAAAACCATGGCAATATTAATGTGATGAATTTGCTCCTGTCTTCAAAATGTAAATTCTAAGCTTTCTTGTATCATAGCAACATTCTTTCCACCTTCCCGAATAATGCTGCCATCCTTGAAGCTTCCCACAAGTTAAATAGGAGGGAAGAGACCCTGCAAGTGTAGAGACATATAAAGACATACAGTAGATCATTAAGGAATTTGCATGAAATCATTTTGAAAGGTACAGATTTGGTTTCAGGATGTTGGATTTGTTAGTTTCTCCTCAGCAGCCAATTTAGTTCTATTTCAGAAGTGGGATTCCGGATAGCATATTCCAAACTGCAGACTAGTGCCAGGCAATCAACATGTCATCATATTGTCAGAATTTATGGAACTTCTGATGAAGTGGATGTGTCATAATATGCTTCCTTGCTTCAGAGAAAAAGCCTAAATATAGTAGATCTGTCAGGTGCTAACTTCATGCCAGGCTAAAACAACTCAACCAGCAATCTTAAAAACCAGCTCCTTTTTATGTCCCTGTATTAAATTGTCCCATAAATGCAACTTTGGTACATCTCCTATGTTAGTGGCTTGATTGCCTCAATCCAATTAGCTCTTTCTGCCTTGGAACTAGCCTGTATGTAGTAGTGAATGTCATTTTTTGTGATAATTTTGAAGAGGTTGCCCTGCACATTTCCTTTCACTCCTGCAAGAGAAAAGAAAACAGTCATTTAATAGGCCATACAGATAGTCTTCAACTTACAACCATTCATTTAGTGACCGTTCGAAGGGACACCAGCACTGAAAAAAGTGACTTCTGACCATTGCATGGGGAAGCCACATTCACTTAAAACTGTGTTACTACTTTAACATCTGCAGTGATTCACTTAACAACCGTGGCAAGAAGGGTCATAAAATGGGGCACAATTAACAACTATCTCACTTAGCAACAGAAACCTTGGATTCAATTGTGGTCATAAGACTATCTGTAAAGAGAGCCAGTTTGGTGCAGTGGTTAAGGCATCAGGCTAGAAACTGGGAGACAATGAGTTCCAAGCCAGCCTGAGGCAAAAAGACAGCCGAGTAACTTTGGACCAGTCACTCTCTCTCAGCCCTAGGAAGGAGGCAATGGCAAACTACTTTTAAAAATCTTGTCGGGAAAACTGTGAGGACTTGTCCAGCCAGTTGCTGGGACTCAAAAACTTACTCAAAGGCCCCCCCCCACCCCACAAAAAGACCAAAAGCTGCTGAAGTACCAGCAATCTCTCAGAGGGAGAATGTCAGAATAGGATACTGTAGAAGACACACTGAACCTGCTTTTCCATTCTGCATTTCATGAACCTTGCTTAAGTCATATATAAAATGCTTTCAAAAGTGAGACAAATGGTCTATGTGAGCAACTAAGCAATGCTTCTTTTCGGAATCTATTATATTCCATCTGGGAATAAGACGGCTTAAGTTTTTCATTTCATTTTTTTAAAAAAAAGTTTTTATTTTTATTTCTCATAAACATGTATAGTCTCTTATTCATCATTAATCATTCATCTTGTCTTTTAACTATTTTTAATTATTAATTGTTCGGGGTTGCTCTTTTACCATTTCCTCTCTATTTTACCACAACTTTCCCTCTTCTCCCCTTCTCTTCCTTCTTCTGACCCTTTCTACTTTCTTCATTCCTCCTCTCCTTCCCTTTCCCCCTTCCCCATCCCTTCCCCCACTCCCCTCTTCTTCTTCCTTTTCTAACCCTCTCTCCTACTCTTCTTTCCCCTCCCCTTTCTAGAAACCACAGTCATTTCTGGTGCTGTGATTGCCCTCCCCTAAGCTATCCTGGTGAACTTTGAGTTAAAGAAATGTATGTGGGGTGGGTGGGTGGCCTTTTTCCTTTTGGATAGCTGCTTTTGCTATGGCTTTGAGAAGGGTGTGCCTTTGTTTGTGTATAATATGTCTAAAATGAGAGGGAGTTGGGGTATGGAGCATCCATATTTTATGTACCCACCCCCATTTCTTTTAAGAACTGGCCCTAGCAGAAAATCCGATGCATTGGATGGGCGCTACGAGCTCTTTATCACAAGCATTCCTTAGCAGAAATAGGCCTTGCTGGGTGATAAAAGGAGTTGCTGGCAAAATCCTAATTCCATTTGCTCTCCTGTGTTTTGTGCTTGTCCTGTATTGTGTAACACATGGTCTGGAAATGAAACAAGGGCAGCAGAAGGGGGATGGGGGGGGGTAACATGGGCTGCTTCCAATGCCCCTGCAAATAATGAATGAAGAACCACTCTAATCTTTATCAATGAAGAAAGAAAGAAAGAAAGAAAGAAAGAAAGAAAGAAAGAAAGAAAGAAAGAAAGAAAGAAAGAAAGAAAGAAAGCTATCAAAATAACAGTAAGACTGGATCTTGCAAAGTAATAACGTGCCTGTAGGGACTCCATTGTCTTCCAGTGCTGAAACAAGACAACCACGGAGAGAAAATCCCCCAACAGGTTTGTTATCTTCCTATAGGAGAAAAAAAGTGGACCAATGTGAGTAAAACAAATAATCAAAATGTTACATCCCCTTCAACAAATTTGACACAGGCGGGGAAAGTTTTGCTTGAGTTTGCTTCTGTTTAAGGAGATGCTGTACAGCAGGAGTGTCAAACTCCCAGCCCGCAGGCTGGATGCATCACGCGCTGGCCACGCCCATGCTTGGTTTAGCGAAGGGGGAAAAGTCCCGATATATCATGTGATACTGCTGTGACATGAGTTTGACACCTCTGTGATAAACCATGGTAATATTAGCATGTGGACACTGCCTTCTAAGCTCTGCCACATGTGATTCAGGACATCTTAAAGTGATTGCCATTGTCAACTTGGCAGAAACCGAAACTGAAAAGCAGTAATAATGTTTTGTCTCAGATTTTAGTTTCCACAAGCTGAGAATAGCAGCAGCTTTAAATTTGCGTGGCACATTAGATCTTAGGTATAATCTCCACAGTTGATTAAAGGGTTTCGATAAACTGGGGCACTTTCACAAACACTTTACACTGCCTGAAGGCACTCTTATGCTGCCAACACTCCTATTTTTTCAGTCCTTTAAAAAACAGTCTGAAGATGGTCTGGACTTAACTTCTCTTTTGCTGATTCACAACACTGAGAACAAGTAGCAAAAAAATCACAGCCATGCCCTGAACCCTCACAATGTTTCTGGAGAAAGAGACATTCTTACCATCTATGCACAAGGAAATGTTAAAAATCTCTTAGGTTCCTCTCCCCATCCTACTTCCATCTTGGTGTGTTGTGTAGCTATTTTGTCATATGCAAAATCTCAGAGTGGTTTGGGGAGGTGGGGCTGTATTTTTGTTTAAAAGAGTGCTAGGGCCAGTTGATGGTTAGGAAGTAGGAGTTGGGGTAAGGTAAGACTTCCTACAAAAGGGTCTCTTCACAAGTTTTGGAGAGTTGCAAGATTTAAAAGATATGACTACAGGTAGACCTTGCTAAATGAGCACAACTGAGATAAGTAACTCTGTCACTAAGCAATGTGATCACTAAATGAGACATCGTGTTTTACTCTGGCTTCAAACACACATAGTTGAGTTTGCCCTGATCTCAAACACAAGCAGCATAGAATGACAGACTACAAGATATGACTTGAGATCTAACCAGAGTCCTCAGAGGGCTCTGATAAACACAGTTTATTTATTTTAAAACATTTATATAACTGCCCATTTTATATCAAACTCTGTGTGGCTCCCAATCAGCAAAATTTTCCTAACACTTCTTCCTAACAAAATGGTTGAATAAGGATGTAGAACTCTAAGATGAGTAGCATTAAAAATAATTTCATATCAAATCTCACTATTTTTCTCCTGAATTGATTTTCATTCTCTAACTAGAGTAAAAAAGAGAGAGAGAACAGGACTCCTATATGAATCATATTTGCCCAGGGGAAAAAACAGTGGTGGGATTCAAATAATTTAACAACCAGTTCTCCGCCCTAATGATTTCTTCCAACAACCAGTTTGCCAAACTGCTCAGAAAGTTAACAACCGGTTCTCCTGAAGTGGTACAAACTGTCTGAATCCCACCACTGGGAAAAAAAAAACTTCAGCAGAATGTATCTTGCTGAAATTCCGTAACGTAACTTGTCCCATTCCCAAATCCAAATGTGTTTTTTTCAATGACAGAAAACAATAACCACAAGGTATATTTGTTCCCAAAGCAAATGTGTTATATTAGGCTACTTTTTAGATTTGTATTTAATTGGCATATTGACTTACAACTAATATGGAGATGAACTACAGCACAGTGCAAACTACTCAAGATGTACTCTGTATTGTGGGCCATTTAGGATCCAGTGAGGATCTCAAGGGATCTGCCCCCAATCTTACTGAAAACCATGCAGAATTCATTCCTCCTACCCATCAGCAACCGTCTTGAGACATTTGAGGGGAGGGGGAACATTCCCCAAAGTCACACAAGCAGGGAGTTTCGACTATTGCAATGCCATTGTCTCACCTTTGTGGGGTCATAATAATGTAAGAAAGCAGGCTCAGACCTCAGGACAAAGCGCCTGACTTTCCAGTTCTTCCTCTTGTGCCCCTGAAAGTTGGAAAATAGTTTTAATTTTCTTTCTCCAAAACACGGATCTTTTGTAATTGTCAATAGTAGAGAAAAAATATTGCATTATCTGTTTACTCCCTTTTATCTTTGCAGAAGACAAGCTAAGGGATAATTCAGATAGTCCTCGCTTAATAACAATTCGTTCAGAGACTGTTTGAAATTTAGGATGATGCTGAACAAATGATACTTCTGCCTGGACTCCAGAGTTACAGCTGTTGAAGAGCTCCTGTGGTCACTTGGCAGCCCCTTCTTGCATTTGAAATCCCAGGATGCGTTTCAACAAGCCCCACCCACTTATCTCCCCCCACGTAGGTCCTTTTGCTCCTGCCCTCCATGGGCCTTGCCCTCCTGTCCCTGATTTTCATCGTCTTCTTACTTCTGCTGCTGACAAAGCACACTTGGACTGGCTCTGTGAGGCAGCTGCTGGCACTCAAGGCCTTCTTCTCGAGGTTGGGTGTAGCACAAGTTACCTTGTGAGACCACAAGAAGATGGTGAAGGTCAGTTAGGGGTAGTAGAGCACAGTTGATCTACTGGTTTTATTATTACCCTAACATCCTACCTGTCATATTAGAAATTACAATTTGTAAATAAATGTTAGTAGCTTGTGTGGACCACTCCCTAAGCTTTCAGAAGTTATGTGTGATCCTATGGCCTGCTTTCTGGTGTAGACTGTGCTGTGTAGAAAGAACATTTTGCCATGCCAAAAACATGACAACGATGCTTGGGTGTCACTTTCTGTATCAGACTGAGAAGAAAACCATGTGTTCATTAAGTCACATATAGTAGTTAGAAGATTGCTTCTATTTATTTTCTATTTCTAACACTTTTTAACAGAAACGTAGCGGGAAGAGTTTCAATTACTGTAGTTACCATCTAAGTCTTGTTCAGATGTTAGTTAATTTGCTAACTGTACATTAATTAAATTGTGAGGGTTTCCTATTAAAATGCCATTTTATTTCAAAAAGAGCTTTAGAAGATACCAATAAAATATTGCCTCATCCCCATTCCGTGATTATCTTGAAATTCTAAAGTCATAGTTACCTGTTTTATCAAAAAGCCTTGCTTTAAAATTGTGCCACTCAGTTCAAGTATGTTAATATTGAGCTGTTCTTTAGCATTAATTTTTTTCTTATAGCTTTCAGCCTGCAGTAAAAACAAAAGCATTGAACTACGTTATTAAAGAGTCAATACAAGTTTTACAAATACTGATTTCATCCTTTAGCATGATTGGTTTTCATTCATTTTTACAAGCTTTGATCTCCAAGCTATTCTCCTTTTCCTTTTCCTCCTCCACCTCAGCCATTTAAATTATTTTTCATAGTACAGTCTGGGAAATTAAAATGTCAGGCAAATCCAGAGCTGCCCATTGCAGGCTACTTGGCTGCTGTTGTTATCTTTACCCAAAAGTAAGAAGATAGATTATTAATATAAGATGGTGCCCACCAGGAGCAATTTTGCAGTGCTTAGTTGTTATTCCTAAAGCAAATCCTGACAAGCAATCACAGTAACAAAAATGTGCAATGCAAGGAGAGATTTCATCCTTGTGAGCAGTGTTCTCCAGGGTTATATTTACAACCAAATCTATGTAGCTCACACCTATGCAAAGTCCAATTAATATCATAATCTTAGATAAAAGTATTGAAAGTATTTAGAAAGTACAAGTGATTTATCAAGATTTTATCATTTGTTTGCCTACTTTTTTTTTCTATTTGACTGTACAAAGTAAATTGACACAGCTAACTTTTGAACCTCATCTGTATGCAGGAAGAGATTCAGCTTTCAGAATTTGCATCACTTACAAATGCATACAAGGCAGTAGAGTCATCTAAAAATTGCTCAGTCAAATCTCCATTCCTCATGGCTTCAGTGCTGCGGGCTCCCACAGGTTTAATGAAAGTTTCATCCACCAGCACAGAGGCCAGCGTGACTGCTTCAAGCCGGGAAGCTGCAAAACTACTGGAAATCAACCAATCCACCAGTATGGAGCCTGAAAGGAAGAAATGGAGTTAATCAGACAAACGATATCTACTGCCATCTGCCACCTCCAAGACAGGAAAGATAGCAATACTATGTCCTTCTGATAAATTTAAAAAGTTATCATTTTGAAGATGTATTTATATATTAAAACCTTTCTGAATAAATTTAATTAAATTTTTCCTGAAACACTTAGATTGAAGCAAACCAGGTAACAGTGGGGGATATACTGTATGGTTGCTACCAACATATATTTCCCAAGAAATGTCTAGTTAAAAAAAAAAAACACAGAAGGAGGTATAACACAGTCACGCTTAAGATTAACTTCTGGGTCCATTGTTCAAAAATAGCCATCAGTACTTCCACAGTTAAAATATGTTTAACATGGGAACATTTTTCCCATGGAAAGTTTTTTTATTTCAAATTTATATGGACCCATAGTCCATTTGTAATTTTCCAAAAGCAAAGTTTTGGAAAATGTCACTCTTTCTCCATTTATTAAAAAAAAGTTGTTTCACAAAAAATTCCTTAACTCTATTCAAAATGTCTTTTGCTAAGGATTGAAGCAAAATCACCCATTTTTTCCAGACTTTTCAATTCAAAAATTCCTAATAGCTGAAAGTTAACAAGCAATCTCTGAAAGTGATTAGAAGAGGATGTTTGTAAACTCAGTATCCTTCTGAAGAGGCAGACTCTGGTTTGACCAAGATGGCTGTTCTCCCATCTTCCAGAGCTCTAAAACCACCAGTGTTTTGCAACCTACTCATGAGGAACAACTGTATAGAATATGTATGTGCAATCTTAAGTCCACCATGTGTCCAGAGAAGAATTATGAAGAGTGGGTCTACTCGTTGGGTCTTCTTTCTGCTATGGTTGTTGGCTCCATACTTAGTGGAGTTGTCTTCAGTTCTCCATTTTTTCCGCAGAAGTTCCTAGTGAGTTTTATAACTGATTAGTGAGATGAATCTGAATCTGTCCGAATTTAATTTAGCACTCTAACCACTAACACACTTGCTCTGGTAGCTTCATCTTCTAAAGCATATTTCCATGCAATTTCTGAAATGTGCCACCTGTTTTTTTGCAAGCAGTGGAACAAAAAAAATTGAAAATGCATTCTTTATTATTTTTCACACATCTGATAATTAAAACAGGTTCTGAAAATGTTTTCTGGTAGAAAATGTCTCTATAGAGGAGCATAAGGAAGAACAAATTTGGTAACATGTGTACCTGTAAAGCTTTCTTTATACAAGCTGCCTTGTCTGGTATTGGGTGTTATCTTGATTCCACTGCTGCTGTCATACATTTTGTCCACAATATGACTGGAGAAAAAAAAAATCAAGAGAGGGTCAGTGATAAACAAACAGAAGAACCAGTTTTGTGAATTTACCCACATTCCACTGTTTTCAGCTAATAGCATGTTTTCAATCCAAAAATACTCAGAACATGTTTGGAATCCAGTTCTGCTTACATGCAAGTGGAATTCATCAATTTCTCCCAAGGGATGGCCGTCCTCTATTGCCAGTAGCCATTATCTGTGCTTTATTACATTGCATTACAAAATGTTATGATATAGTATGGAAGACTAAGCTGGATTCATAGATGAGTAATGCTCATCTATGTTCCAGAGGAAATGCATCAGGAAATTATGTACAGGAAATTTTGTGTACATGCACAGAGTAGGTGGGAAACCTATAGCCTTTCAGATTGGATGAGCTACAATATCAAGCATCCCTTGGCTTAGAAGCTTGGGGTTGCGGAAATGTTTGGCTCAGTGATAAGAACTACCGACTTCTCATTCCTAACATATAGAAAACAGTGCTCGTTGTCAGTCCAAACCAGCAGCATGCAAAAAACAGATGGAGAGCTTATTTACCACATACTTCAAACTGATATTTGCAGGAAGTTTGAAGGAGTTTCTCATGAGATGAAGTTGCTGAACTTGCACTGGGTTGCCAGCATGAATAGCGCCCGTGATGTCCAAAGCCCAAATGTCACGCTCTTCTCGAGAGCAACAGTCAAGGAAATAGTCTGTGTTGGTTTTTGTCCTTAGTTTAATAACTAACTGCAAAAGAACAGCATAAGAAGCAGGGTTTATAGGAATGGCCATAAAAGGAAAGAGCCTTATAGCACACATCTATTTGGTCTCCAACTGAGAGTTATGTTTCATTGCTAAAACAAGACATTCCCCCATTAAATAAATTAGCCAAATGAGCAAGAGAGAGATAATAATAATAATTTTTAAAAAAACAGATGGGATCCCATGCATTCCAAGATCAGTAGGATGAAAAGCTCATCAGATTCGAGGAACATCATTAGATTAACATACAAATTTTGGTATAGCCTTCAGTTGAATCTGAATGAGAAAATTATTTCAGTGGTTCTTTCCCTAATCCTGATTTTCAGTCTTGAAAACAATCCCTGCTAAACTATTGAAAACTGTCCACCTATATCTTCCATTTTACTAATCAGAAAATGCAACCCTAAATTACCCAACAGATCTGCAATATGCAGGAGTTGCAGGGAAGCAACACAAGCCTAAACTAATAGACAACAGCTAGAGGTTTGTGGTTTGGGGGAGGACTGTATATTAAAATTGGATTAGGTTAATTGGTTAGCTTAGATCAGTTAGATTAGGCCATCAAATACAATCACCTGAGTTAGTGTGAGAACCTAAATTAAAGTACATCGTGTCTAAAGACTAAAGAGTGATTGGTTACACCAACTGGATTCACTAGGTTAGAATTATAAAATAATAGAATTGGAAGTGCTTGCTGGGGGAAATCCCAGTTAAAGCATCACAGAGAGATACTGGAGATGTCTGGCCTCTGCTTCGGCACATCCAGTAAAAGATTCAGTGTTGCTATGAGTAACCGGTTTTCCAGTTGAACTATTCCAACTGTTAAAAAGGTTTTTTTTCCCCTGACTAGCCCATCCCCCCTTTTTTTTCTTGCCATAATATATACATCTTCTTAGAGCTATGAAAGTCAAAACAGAGCTATGAACTTTTTGGGAGTCTTCTTTGAAAAGAAATCAGCTTTCTCAGAATATTATCCCAACTCATTCCCAAAACCTAGATTGTTCTCTTCCTTAATTGCTTTCTCTCATTTTAAAGTCAACACAGTAGTAAAAGAACTAAGCAAAGAATCCAACATGGGACTTACCTGCCTGTTCTCATATTCCAAACATGGGCAAGTAATCGTACAGCCGTCCAGAAAAATCCTTCCCTTGGGAGAAGACTCTTGCTTTCCTCCCACCACTTTATAATAGAGCAGCTTGTCCTGGAGAAGAACAAACCATCTTGCTTTCCAATTGGGGACAACGTGACCCTGCAAACAATAAAAAAACAAAAAATAGCGGTTTCTGAAGCTGATCAAAAGCAGCTCTACCTGCTACGCTAATTGCACAAAGCAACACGTTTATTCATTCCGACTCATAACTTATTGCATTAATACATTTCTAATTGATAGAACTTTGAACAAAATCCTAGCCACCTGGGCTGTTATACTTATTTAAGTTTTCCTCTTATGCTTCTATTAAAATAACTCATGGATCAGTGGTGGGTTGCTCCCAGTTTGATCCGGTTCTTGCGAACTGGTAGTAATGGTGTGGGAGGCTCCACCCACCCGCCCGGATGTCATCATGAACAATCTGCACATGTGCAGAAGCTTCTGCGCATGTGTGCGCTCCCGTTGCGAACCGATAGCGGAGGTAAGTAGAACCCACCCTTGCCATGGATGCATTTTAGAACAGAACTCAGATTCATAAAAGTAATTACAATGTTCATTAAAATCATAGCATAAAATATAACCAATATTGCCCCACTCACATTTACAATCCATACCGCTATTTTTTTTTTTTTTAAATGCCTTCAAGTAGAGTCTTGATTTCAGGTTACTGTCTGCGCAAGTCCCTGCAGTTTTCTTGGCAACTGCATTTTTTAAAGGAATGGTTTGCTATTTCTTTCTTCCTAGAGCTTAGAGTATCTGACTCAAAGACAACCAGTTGGCTTCCTGTCTACAGCAAGTCTAGAATTTACGGGCTCCCATTTTTCAATCTTGCACCTTTAACTGCTATTCCAAACTGTCTCTCTACTGTTACAGATGATATATAAAAGAGCCTTGGTGATGCAGTGGACTAAAGTGCTGTTAAGTAGCACTTAGCTGCCAGCTCCCTGCAATTACTGCGAGTTCAAATCTCACCAGGCTCAAGGTTGACTCAGCCTTCCACTCTTCCAAGGTAGGTAAAATGAGGACCCGGATTGTGGGGGCAATAAGCTGACTTTGTATAAAAAGAACACCGCTTGGGGGGGCTAAGCAGGTATATACAAAAGTATGACGGCTATTGCTTAATGTATTGTAAGCCGCCCTGAGTCTCCGGAGAAGGGCGGCATATAAATCGAACCAATATATATAGTCAGCACTAGAGTAAATGCAGGTTGAAGAGACGACCACGAAACTTAACATATATATTATAATAAAAACTAAACGATTTTGAATAATATAGGTATTGTATTCTGAAAGAAAAAAAGCAACCAGCCCACATTTACTGAAAATAAATTTCAGATAAAATGTGAAATTGATAGTGAAATTGCCCTGCCCTCTTCATGGAATTTTACTAACAGTCCAGAAGATATTATCGTTTGTGGTATTAGCCCACATTTCCTCATTGTTTTTCAAACTGCAACCAAACAAAAATCCCAAACTCTCTCCTTGTGAAAAGTGTATTGCATCTTCTTTCTCCTAACAAATCTGGACACCAATAAGACTGGGTGTTTCCCTTTCTCTATTTCTTGCTGTGCACTTCTTTAAGAACTTATAGGGAAGTGTGAAAGGTGCCGAAAACAGAAGAGAAAGGAATTGCTTTGGAAGCAGAAATGGAAAATAAACAAGATGAGAAAGGAGGGGCGCTTTCAGACCCTCATCCACCATTATCAGGAACAGCTCCTCCCACTGTACTTTAGGCATGCATTTTCCTGTATATACCTGTTGAAAAATTGCACTTTTGTCCCGGTACATGTGCTGCATTATATAACTACCCTTCCTCATTCATAAGACTGCTGGCAGAATTATCGTACATTTTTTCTCTTTTTCTTTTACAAGGGATATCTATTTTAAAGAAAGAAAGCATGGCTGTCTGAGGTCCATTTGCTTGGTAGGAACAGAAGCCCTCTGGCTTGAAACCCTTTTAATTCTCACTGGATGATTTATGGCTGAAAACCATGTAGCAGTGGGAAAAGCCAGCCTGTTTATGAATGGATCACAGTGTTGTTTTGACTGTCCATGAAGCTCTGAGAAATCATTAAATTCTTAAAATATACCGCCCTGTGTGATTTCAGAGAAGGCTTCTATTGTATAATCATTCTGTCTAGCTGACAGAATTTTATTTTGAGGTGGAAGGTGTTCAGGCACAAATCATTCTTCAGATGTAAGTTGTAACCTTTTATTATTTTCTTTTTTCTTTTCTCAAAAAGCTATTATGGACAAAAAAATACTGTAACTCTTCAGTGCCTCTCATTTGGTAGCATTAGGCACCATTTGCATAGCTCAAAATGTTGGAATATAAAGCATTATGCTGTTCCAGTGGAAAACTCTTTTCATGCCAGAAATTAATTATGACAAAATGTCATAAAAAGCCACTATTGAAAGTACCTCTCAGGATATTCAATTGCAGGTCTCAAAGTGTCTATGGGGGGGCGGGGGGCGGAGGGAATGAGACTTTAAGTGAGGAGTTGCTGAATTCGCATATATAAAAAGTTTTCAGGTTACCTCAAAAGATCTTAACAAACACAATGCACTTTTAATACATTACAATTGTTAACTGATTAGGTGCTTGTGATCCGTCTCTCATATAATCTTCATTTGCATAACCAACCTGTCCTTCCCTCTCCAACTCATTCCATCATTCTAATTTAAATCTTTATTTTATTGATTTATTTGCACTTTGCATTTGTTGAAGCGAGCTGACGAAAGTTTGCCTTTTATAAAAAGTGTTAGCTGGAAAACATCTTACCACACTCTTTCTGAATTTTTGCTACCAAAGATCAACACAGCTGTCCTCCTACCACACCTACTCAAAAAGTAGAAATATGTACTGAGCCTCAAACAGTTCATCAAAATACTTGCTACATCATGCCCCATTGGAAATTCCAAAGAAAAATGTTACGTTTCTGAAAATGTAAAACTCAACTGCACCTTACCTACAATGGATCTACAATAATTCAAAAGCTGCAAGCCAAAGGCCTATCTAGAGGCTGCCTAAGAACATGAATTTGAAAAAGGAGGCAAGGCTACAAATTGAAATTAGAACTGTGAAAGAGAAGAAATAGAGACCAATTTTGTAAGACATGTTATCCCAGTTCAGTTCCTTCATCCTTGCCTAGTGACCATGGGAGATCTTCCATGTTATTTCTAAGATTTATAACTTTTTTTCCTAGTCAGTTGAAGATTACTATTTGTAATCATTTAAAAAATAATAAATAATATTATTTAAACAAGATGTTATAATTAAGCGTCCCAGTTAGAGATCAGTGGAAGGAAGTCTTACCTTTTTAACTAGAAAGCCCTCTTTCAGGATCCCCCTCCCTTCCTCCATGGTGGGCAAGAGAAGAATGTGTGCCTGTTGAGAATCTCGCAGACAGCTGCAAACCGGTTCTTCTGAAAGTAAGGTTTTAAGAGGCAGGCTGATTTTCTTCACCCCCACTCCAGAGTGACGTCTGGTCCACTCCCTGCTCAAGGTAGAGAAAGCAAACACTGAGCTGGCATACCTGTCCGTATGGTGAACAAGGTCGCTCCTATTTACAGTTGTAAAGGCTCAAACTGATTGAGTGCCTCCGGTAATATGAATCAGCCATTTGATTACACATCACAGGAAGACGTTCCTGTAGTATGTGGAAGCCAAGAATTTACCGGGGGCTACAACGTTTTGCTTGCTGGGAGTTTCCAAAGTTTGATATACAGTAGAATGTCCTGATTGTTAAGTGTATTGCATATACTTCTGAGTCGGTGGGATGTGGGCAGCCGTATGTTAGTTTAGAAAAAAGTCCCTAGATTAATAATCCTGGCTCGTGCGGAGTAGCCTGAACAACATGCTTGGGATAAAACTACGTTTTGGTTTAGCTGATGTAGCAAAATTGGGCCAAAATATGCCAAAAGTGATGGTACTGTCTTTAATAAAAAATGTTACAAATGGTTTGGTTGGTCATTAAATCCACACCTTCTCTATCTTACTAAAAATATTATGTAAAAGCCTTGATCAAAACCAAGCTGAGCAATGGAAATCAATTTCTATGGTTTGGTGATGAACATGGCATACAGAAGATTGCTATCTGGAATGTAAAAGGAGTGAATGATAAAGAGCAAGAATTGACAGATGGCATGGAAGAAAGAAAAATATGTTATATATCTGTGCAATTAAGAAAAAAGAAGGATGTTATAAATCTTAGTAAAGGTGTCCTAATGTTGTGGAATAAAGATGATGAATATGTGCAGGAAAGTGAAGGTATGGGTTTAATTATGAGTGAAATGACTAGAATGAATGTCAGAAAGGAGAAGAATTGATGTCATCTGAGTTGTTGTGGAACTGTAGTAATGTAGAAACTTCTAGATTGGTGATAGTTGTGTATTATCTCCAGTGAAGTATAATAATGAAAGAATCAGAAATGTTTTGGGAAAAAAAACAGTGCAACATTTGAATGAACACAATTCAGGGGGAAAATATTTTGCTAGGTGTTTAGAATGTATGAGTGGAAAGGAGATGAGAAGGTACAGAGGAATTTATTGGGAGATTTGGAAACACAAGAATGGAAGAGAACAATAAGTATCTGTTAGAAAAATATCTGCTTATTCCAAATACTTTGAATCATGGAATCATAGGGTGGTTGGAAGGGACCTTGGTTTAAGCATCTCTTCATATGTACACATGATAGAATAATGAATATAAACCTGAAAACATTATTTATTAGGAATGGTTGAGGTAATTAGTGAAACACAATAAATTAATGAAAAGTTTTAAATAAAACAGATGATTTTTTGGAAGTGTAAACAGTAGATCTTGGGGAATGTATAAACAAATATTAGAACATAGGTCAACTTTCTATTATAATAAATAGAAAACAGACATATTGAAAGAGGATGTGGAAGCTGCTTGGAAAAAAGTAATAAGAATTATGTTACATAATATTACAGTAGTACAGTATGCATATTTGATTAAAAGGAAGTGTGAAAAAGATGTTTTTACATGATGAAGTGAAAGAAGATGTGGTATATAAGATGCATGTACAAATGCTGCAAATGAAGATGAGACAATATATATGTATAAGGAATACTTGAAGTGCTTGGTAGGAAGGATGTCTTGGTTGGAAATACATTTATACTTTTACATGCACATGATGCCATGTTATTGGCAGAAAATCTGAATTATTTACAGTGAAACTTAAATTGTATAATGTATAAGATATCTGGTTCTAAAAATTAACATATCAAAGATTAAGTTAGCTCTGTGTCATGGAGAAAATAGAATGAATGATTGCAATAATGGAGACTCTGGTATACTGCAGCTTGGTGTAGGCTACATACTGGGAGTCCATTAGTTCTACTTTAACCTTAGGCACAAAGCCAGCTGGGTAAGCTAAGGCCAGTCACTCTCTCTCACCCCCAGGAAGGAGGTAATGGCAAACCCACTTCTGAAAACTTGCCATGAGAACGGAGTGGTCTTGTTTGGGCAATTGCGAAAAGTTAAGGCACCAAAACGATAAATAAAAGCAAAGAAGTCCTATCTACATTATAGCCAGACATTTTAATCCAGATTTAAAACTGAAATATATTCAAAAGAGATCTTTAAGGCAAACTTGACATAGCCTTGGTACAAATAATAATTGGATATTTCCAAAATTTCGGTTTGTCCTGGTATTTATTTCAGGAATGGGAGACCCTTTCGGCGCTGAATGTTCCCTTCTGTGTCTGATAATGGGTAAATGATCATAAAAAAACTTCTCAAAGGATAAAGATAGCATAAATTAAATAAATAATGCTTCAAATGTTCTCCTTCTGGCAATAATCATCAGATGTTTCCAAGACATCTACAAACTGTCAAAGGAAAGTGCATCTCAGCAATAAGGATGAGACTGGATATAGGTAGTCCTTGATTTACAACCATTTGTTCAAGAACTGTCCAAAGTTAAAATGGCCCTGAACAAATGGTAGACATGCCGTTCTCAGGCTTTTGGCGGTCTCAGGATCCCTGCAATCAAGTGATTACAATCTGGGAGTTTAGTAACTGGCTTGAATTTATGACTAAATGCAGCACCACATAACCAAGTGATCTCCCCGTGGCTTCCCCAGAAATTCAGTGGGTTAGCTGGGGGTAAGTCTCCCTGAACCAGTCCCCCAACCCCTCTGCGCTCACACCAAGCTGGCCACTTGTGTATTCCCCCTTTACTCTCCCCAAGTCTTGCTGCACCTCCCTTTTACCCTGTGCACCCTCACACCCCCTCTTTGACCCAGTCATGTGGTTATGAGGTGCCACACCTTCATTGCATAATCTTCCCCATCCAGCAGCAGCCCTTACTGCTTGCCTGCATGCAAGTCATCTGGGACTTGCCAGCTTCCCCCAACCAAGTCAGTGGTAGCATGAAGTTGCCTTACCTGTCAACCATGAGATTTTCTTAACGAAGGCAATCCGTTCAGCAGGAAACTGCCATGGCTAAGTGATGGAAATTTCAGTTCCAACTGCCATTTTAAGTTGAGCATTACTTGTACACTACTTGCTCAACTTACTTTTGCAGGAATTAAAAACCATTTGTACTTGGGCCTACTTCTAGTTAAGAATGCATAATAATGTGCTGTACTTAAGTTTCCAGAACAGCCAGGCTACATTAATAAATGTATATGGGTATTACTATTAAGTAGATCCATGCACATTGGTTAAGTCAAGCCAAATCAAAATATATAAATTGATTATAAAGGGCTTTTTATTGACTTTCTGTGAAGATCTCCATATCTCTGACAAGAGGTGTAGGCAGTTTCCCTTTGTCATTCCCATAAGCCCTAAAAGTTGCTCTAAAATATATGCAACCCTTTTCTATGGAAAGCTTTAAGAACAGCGAAGAAACATTTTACACTCCTATTTGGGTGGAAATTGATGCTTCTTATGGAAATTGTATCCTATCTTGAGACTGTAGAGTGACTCTATACCCAATAGCAGTTACAGAACTACAGATAAGGTGAAAGCTTTAGGGTTAAGGTATCAGTGATATGTTTCCTTATTGTGAGATTTTCTTGTTTTCTAGGGAAATACTTTTATGGTCAAAGCAAGATTTAAAAAAAAAACAGTATCCTGGAGATAAGAAAGTAGGAAGGAAACAATTGTTATTCTTGCATAGCTCCTGATTACTGTACTTGCTGATAGAGCGAGTCACAGACGATGTAGCATTAGTCACTAAATCAGCAAAGCATGTCAGCAAATCTCTTTGCAGACATAGTATTATTATGCAGTGGGTGGGAGACTTTATGACTTGAGTTTTACAATACACTCCAATAGCTTGCTTTCTATTTTACATATGAGTCAGCCCTATGTAAATATTGTTATGTATTTAATATGTATTTATTTATTTTTTAGGCCAGGCCAGAGGTGGTCTAGCTCCCGTATTCTTGGAGGCTCTCTCCGATCCAGACATTCAAGTCTATTAACTTCTGAACAGTTCATGGATGGCTAAAGTATATCTAGCCAGATATACTAGACAGCCAGTTTGGTCTAGTGGAGACTGTAAGTTCAAGTCCTGCCTTAGCCGTGGAAGCTGGCCAGGTGACTTTGGACTCTCAGTCATTCTCTCACAACCAAGCCCATTTCACAGGGTTGTTGTGTGGAAAATGGAAAGATGAAGAGGTGTTAGATATATTGCCTTATTTGTAAAAATAATGATGGGATGTGAATAAATATCAAAAATAGATCTGCCTGCCAGTTTCATGTGGTACTTATTTTACACCTTTGTCCTTTTAAATCTTTTTGTTGAAAAATTATCGTTTTTTATCATTCACCCTATTATCTTTCCCTGCTCCCCAATTTTATTACTGTTCAATTTATAGTTTTCTATTAGTTGATCGATTTTTGTTTGCCCTGACATTTCTGATGCCAACAATACCTAGGTAACCCCACTTATATTTTATTTCCCCATAGCACTTAAGATATTTATGAACTATCCATTGTATGAAAATTGCTACTCTAAAAAAATGTACACAGGGCAAACTTGTAATTAGTTCTTAAAGATACATGTCCATACTAGTTTGCATTCAGTCAACATATACTTTACACAAAAATAAATTCCTAAACTTTGCAGAAAATGGCCGTCTTCTCACTCTACAGATTCAAGGAAGGTTACCCAATCTATATACTACTTAATATTGAAATGTGGGTTTTTACTGCTACAAAGAACTCTTCAAATGCTAAACATATCCCTATTGGAAGAAAACATGTAGGAACCTGTATGGATATATAAAACTAAACTCAGTGATGTCAGATCAGATAGGTCTAATCAGTTCTCAAATTACCCTATCTATCTTTAGGCCTACAGATTCCTCCATAGTGGGAGGAACTGGCTGTAACAAACCATCTGTTGATGTTGACGTCAAAAGTTGCCTGCAACACTGAAAATTTATCTTGAGAGATAACTGGTTTTTCCTCAAAGAGTACAGAAATCCTCATAAGGAGTTAGCAG